TCTGCACACCAGGTCCCGTTCAGAAACTTGGTGCTGTGGTGGGGAGGCAGAGATGGAAACCTGGTTATAATCTGACGTCTGCCCCGGCTTATCATTGTCTTGAGGAGACCAGTCATGCCTTGGAGAAGCAGTCAGAAACCCTCATGATGGGACTTCACTGGCAACCCAGTGGTTAAGACTCTGAGCACCCAATGAAGAGGCATGGGTTCGATTGATCCCTGGTCTGAGAACTAAGATCCTGCATGTCATATGACATGGCCTATGGGAAAAAAAAAAAGAGAAACCCTCATGATGGAATGTATTGTAGTAGTTAATGAACTGGTGCAGAGAATGGGAGCCAAGAAGGGAAGGTTGTGGGACTGGATGGTTCAGAGCCTTGGGAGAACAGGGGCTTGTCCAGGGCCTGGAGGGACAAGATGAACATCACCTGGCCAGGTGAAGGGAGAGCATTCCAGACAGAGGAAGAAAGAGGGTAAAAGTACAGCTGCAAGAGTGAGGCAGGGAGTGGTTGAACTTGACTGTGGTGAAGGGGGCTAGGGTGCTGGTAGGAAAGCTGGACTTTTGGAATTCATGTCCCAGCTTAGAACGCTGCGACCTTGCTGAGTCCCATCTGCAGCATGAGATGTCCCTCTTCCCTCACGGGATCGCTGCAGGGCATATCAGAATCTCATCATCAGATCTGCATGAACATGCTCAACCCAGTACCTGCACTCAGGGGCCCTGAGCTCACCTGGGGAGGTTTTCCGGCCCTGCCTCTGTGGGGCTCTCCCAGGTGGTCCAGCGAGCAGCAGAACTTCAGGGGAGCCACTGCAGGCGCCCCTGGGCCTGTGCTAATGCTGGGTAGAACGGAGGCATGAGAAATCTGACCTACCCAGCGCCTGGCCACCTTTCCTGGGCCCTGTCTATTTAAGTGCTCAGTCCCCAGTGGACGAGGAAACCTTGTCTGCTCCGCCACAGCTAATGACAGCCTGGCCTGCCAGGCCACGTAAAAACAGCCACTATTTTTATCTACTGGAGGCGGCTGGCCTGTCTTCCTCCCCAGACAGTGCCGACATGGGGTGATTTTGAGGAAACCAGGGCTTTGCTAGGAAGGTGAGTCATTGTCTCAAATCATGGACTACGGTCTGGCAGGATGCACCTAAGGAACCTTCCGGCGGGTATCAGGCGTCACCTTGACCCAGTGGTCTGAATTTAGAGATAATTCTACCCTACCTTCCCAGTAGGACTCAGAAGGAATCACTTGACCTCTCCACCCCTGATGGTCCTCAGAATCCTTGCTGGAGTTTCAGGGCACAGCAGGATTGTGTTCCCCCCAGCCGCAGAGGGTACCAAGAGGATAAGGGCTGGTGCGGCTGTGCCCCTGGGCAGAGCCCCTTCCTCTTCCAGGCACCCGTCTTGCCTCCATCTCACCATCCAGCTGCTCTGGGTGTTTGCTGATTGTTCTCTGCCTCCCCCAGACCACAGGATCTTTGCAGGTAGGGCCTGTGTGTGCCCCAACTTTGTGCCAGGCCCCCACCCTTGTTCCGTGAATGGTTGGACCCATGTGGCTCCCCAGGGCTTATAGTTGTTTCCTCATACCATACCTTACTGAGCTATCTGACCCCTGGTGATGTAGGGCTGAGAGTTTAAATGGCAGAACTGGGACCAGAACCCAGTCCCATCTCCTAGGGAGTCAAGGCATTGGCTGTGGTCCCCTGGCCCCAGTGGGGCCCCATTCACTGTCTGCCTTCCACCCCTGCTCCGTCCCCAAGGCTCCAGAGCTGCTTCTAGAAGGTAATGGGAGGGGCCAGCTGTGCAAGTGACCATCTACTCCCGACCCTGGGAGCAATGAGGACAGAGGCCCCAAAGGCTGAATCACCTGAGGCAGAAGTGGGAGGGGCCACAGGCCCTGAGAGCAGGTCTGCTCCGGCTCACTGTTCAGGGTGCTGTGGGTTGTGTCACGTCTCGGGTAAGGGCCCGCCTGGGAGCCTTCCTGAAGGAGATGCATGAGGCTGACATTGTGTGCCTGCATGGGAAGGCTTCCAGCCCTGGCCCAGCTGTTAGGAGACCGCCCTTCCTGGTTCCTGGGGGCTGGGAGTCATCTGTGCCCTCCCCTGGGTACTCCTGGTGCCTAAAGGTACAGCCACTATGCCGCACCCTCTTCCTGGAGCAGAGAGGGCTGCTGTGGGCCCTGGACGGTGGCCAGGCCTGGAACGGTGGCGCGGTGGTGAGAAGAGGGAGGGTGCGAGGTGAGGTGTGGCGTTCAGTCCTCAGGGCTCCCCCTGGGTGGCGATCCATCTGTGGTGGGCTGAAGGGGCACACTCAGGTGTTGGGGTGGACACCCTCCAGGGAGGGAGCTGGCCCTGTATGTCCTGGGCCTGTGGCCCAGCTGCCCCCAACCCCCATGCTGAGGAGAACCTGGAGAGGCCCCCGAGTAAGCCTCCTTCCTCCTGAGCATCAGTCTCCTGGGAGTCCTCCATTAACAGGTCACCCCTACTCTCATACCTTCAGTGGCTACCCAGTGCTGAAGCCACAGAGCTCAACCCTAGCTCTGTAGAACTGCCCAGGGAACTTTTCACAATCCAAAGCCCAGGCCCAGCCTATGGAGATGCTCATCTGGTCTGGGGTGGGGCCCAGGCATCTGCATGCAGGGTAGCTAATTAGAGGGTGGCTGTCTCAGCCCAGGGCGGCTTCCAGTGGGTGCCAACCGATCCCTTTACACCTTCCTTCCAGCCAAGCTGGCCCCTTGCCGATGCCCACCTGCCTCGCACCACCTTTACCTCTGTCTTCCCCTTCTGGTGCTTACTGTCCATCCAAGCCCATGGAAGCCCTCATGGTCCAGCTGCCTCCACGCTTTCTGGGAAACTATCTTTAATCCTTTGGCTGTCTCTTTTCTCTTTAGCAGGGGCCTCATGCTCTTCTCCTAGAATGTGCTTGGGGGTCACTCTTTAAAAGAGTCTGTGTCCCATCCCAGCCTCTTCCTTCCCTGAAGCACTGCACCTGTTGCTAATTCTGTTTCTGTGGGCTTTCTATGACCTGTCCCCAGCCTTGGGGAGAGTGTGTGTGTGCAGTGTGTGTGTGAGAGAGAGATTGTGTGTGTGACTCTGGTTGTGTGGGGTGTGTGAGTGAGGGTGTGTGGTATGTGAGTGAGGGTGTGTGGTATGTGAGTGAGGGTGTGTGGTATGTGTGGTTGTGTGTGGGGTATGTGAGGGTGTGTGGTAAGTCAGTGTATACATATATATGTATGGGTGTGGGTGTGGTGTGTACAATTGTGAGTCTGTGTGGGATGTGTGTATGTGTGTTGAGTGTAGGGTATGTGATTATGAGAGTCTGAATGTGTGTGGGGTTATGTGAGTAGCGTGTTTGTATATATGTAGAGTGTGTATAATGTATATGTAGAGTGTATATATGATTGTGAGAGTCTATGAGTGTATGTGGTATGTGTGACTGGGTGCACGTGGTGTGTGAGGGGTGTGTATGTATGAGTGTATGTGTGTTGTGTGTGATTATGAGGATCTGAGTGTGGTGTGTATATGAGAATGTGGTGTGTAAGTGGTATGTGTGTATGAGTGTATGTGTAGTATGTGTGATTGTAAGAGTCTGTGTGTGTGGAGTGTGTGTTTGTATATGTGTAGAGTGTGTGGAGTGTATGGTGTAAATGACTGAGAGTCTGTGAGTATGTGTGGGGTGTGTGTGTATGTGGGGTGTGTGTGACTGAGGCTCTGTGAGTGTGTGGTGTGTGTGAGAGTAGGATGTGTGTACATGTGTAGAGTGTGTGGTGTGCGTGTGAGAATGGGGCATGTGTACATGTAGTAGAGTGAATGTGTGTGTGTGAGGATAGGGCATGTGTACATGTGTATGGTATGTGTGGTGGGGCATATGTACATGTGAAGAGCATGTTTGTGTGAGTATGGGACGTGTGTGCATGTGTAGAACGTATGGTGTGAGTGTGGGGTGTGTGTACCTGTGCAGAGCATGTGTGGTGTGTGTGTGAGGATGTGGCATGTGTACATGTATAGAACGTGTGTGGTGTGTGTGTGAGTGAGGGGTGTGTGTACATGTGTAGAGTGTGTGTGGTGTGTGTGTGAGGATGTGGCATGTGTACATGTATAGAACGTGTGTGGTGTGTGTGTGAGTGAGGGGTGTGTGTACATGTGTAGAGCATGTGTGTTGTGTGTGTGAGTGTGTGGTGTGTGTGGTGTGAGGATGTGGCGTGTTTACCTGTGCAGAGCATGTGTGGTGTGTGTGGTGTGAGGATGTGGCGTGTGTACCTGTGTAGAGCATGTGTGGTGTGTGTGGTGTGAGGATGTGGCGTGTGTACCTGTGCAGAGCGTGTGTGGTGTGTGTGGTGTGAGGATGTGGCGTGTGTACCTGTGCAGAGCGTGTGTGGTGTGTGTGGTGTGAGGATGGGGCGTGTGTACCTGTGCAGAGCGTGTGTGGTGTGTGTGGTGTGAGGATGTGGCGTGTGTACCTGTGCAGAGCGTGTGTGGTGTGTGTGGTGTGAGGATGTGGCGTGTGTACCTGTGCAGAGCGTGTGTGGTGTGTGTGGTGTGAGGATGTGGCGTGTGTACCTGTGCAGAGTGTGTGTGGTGTGTGTGGTGTGAGGATGTGGCGTGTGTACCTGTGCAGAGCGTGTGTGGTGTGTGTGGTGTGAGGATGTGGCGTGTGTACCTGTGCAGAGCGTGTGTGGTGTGTGTGGTGTGAGGATGTGGCGTGTGTACCTGTGCAGAGCGTGTGTGGTGTGTGTGGTGTGAGGATGTGGCGTGTGTACCTGTGCAGAGAGTGTGTGGTGTGTGTGGTGTGAGGATGTGGCGTGTGTACCTGTGCAGAGCGTGTGTGGTGTGTGCGTGTGTGGTGTGTGTGGTGTGAGGATGTGGCGTGTGTACCTGTGCAGAGCGTGTGTGGTGTGTGTGGTGTGAGGATGTGGCGTGTGTACCTGTGCAGAGCGTGTGGCTGTGCAGTGTGCTGGGGTGGGGATGAGCCCCCACTCTGACCCCCGTCCTGTGCCGTCCGTCCTGCAGGCGAAAGCGGCCAAGTCGGAGCAGGAGGCCCGGAGGCTGCGGCTGCGGAGCCTGCAGTACCTGGAGCGCTACGTCTACCTGGTGCTCTTCAGCGCGTACCTGCACCTGGAGAAGGCCGGCTCCTGGCAGAGGCCCTTCAGCGCCTGGATGCGGGAGGTGAGGGTGGGGAGCCGGGGACAGGCTCCCTGGCGAGTGGGCACAGCTCCCATGTCACTCCTCCCCCGGCCAAGGTTGTGTCCCGTTCAGCTCTGGGCCCGCACACAGTGTCTGCGCTCAGCAGGCGTGAGCGAGGGATGAGGAGGAGGAGACAGCAGGTGGGGGCTGGGCTGGGCCCCTGCTCCCTGCGTCCCTGAGGCCGTGTCGCCTGGGTGCTTCACGCCCACCGCTGTGTCCATCCTTCACCTGTGCCCTCGCTTCCCGCTCCCCGCTGCCTTCCAGCCATGGCCGTGGACAAGGCACTGAGCCCCTCTGAGCCACTGTCCTCAGCGTTACCACGCAAGTACTGTTGGCGCAGTGGGCACCAGGCCGTGGCGGGGACTGAGATACTGCCTCTGCCACAGCTCGTGTCAGCAGGCCTGCCTCACGTGGCCACTGTACGCTCCCGCTCTGCACAGGAGGAGTCTGGGCGCAGAGGGGTTCAGTGCCGTGTTCATAGTGTTAGAGCCGTTGGTTGGCTCCAGGGCCCACCATGTCCAGCCTGGGACAGACATGTCTCGGGCCACCTCCTCCCTCCCCTCCACTTGGCTCTTCCCGGCCTGGCTGGTTTTAGAGGCAGAGCTGCAGCCTCGGCACCTCTAGGGTAAGAGAAAGGTCTCCCTTCCTGCTTGGCAGAGTGGCCTGTAATTACCCCTCTGCTGGGACGCTGGCCCCTGCTGACCTCACCGGCCTGTCCTGGTGGTTGACATCTGGACTCCAGGCTGGAATTAGCTCCTGTGGGCAGGTGGACGGGAAGGCAGGAGTGACAGCCGTAGGAAGGGTGTGGGGCTTCGGGAGCTGTGCAGGTGGGGTTGGAGCTGCGAGGGGACAGAGGCTGGGAGGCCCCTGCAGGGCCCAGTGCCCGGACGGGTGGCTGCTGGGTGTTTGTGGCGGTCCTGCTATGGGGGTGGGTCACACCAAGGTCACAGTGGGGCCACCCTCCTGAGCAGGCCTGGGCTCAGCTTCCTCTTGGCGGTAGTAGGGGACCTAAGACACTTCTGCTTGGAGAGCTGAAATAGGGGGGTGGGACAGGGGCTGGGAAGGAGCTTGATCCCCTCCCCAGCTGGACCTGGGTGGTGGGTCGTGGGAGATGTCGAGGTTCTAGCCTTGGGGGATGAACGGAGGGGCAGGGGGTGAGGGTTGCCTGGGGATGTTAGTTTGGAGTGGAGCATGCATCCTCGCCATCCCCAGGATGGTGGGGAGAGAAGAAGGCTGGTCGTTGAGTGGTTTGAGTCTAGGGCCAGGGCCCGGGCACTACGGCTATATGGAGAGTGTCTAGGGAGGCCTCAGTGAACCGGCCTGAGCTGAGGCCCTTGGTGGGCCTGCCGAGTCCACAGTCGGAGCTCATAGCAAAAGGGCTCTTGCCGGCTGCTACTTCCACGCTGGCTTCCCCAGCGCTCCCCGCGGGCCCAGCTGTAACACTAGGAGCAGCTGGGCTTGTGCTCCTGACTGTGCCCATGGGAGCACCGGGGCTGAAGGCACGGGGCGAGCTTGGCCTCCCCCGCTGCTGACCTCTTCCTACCTGCCCTTACTTCCTGCCGAGCGCTTTCTGTGCAGCCCTCCACGCTGTGCTCTGCCATCACAAGGGAATGGGAGCTCGGAGTAGTTAATAGGAATCGAGATGCAAACTCGTGCAGGTGGCTGAGCTGGTGGGAGGCAGCGCTGGGCCCCAGACTCACACATGTGTCAGCGGAGCCCAGTGAGGCGTGTGACAGAGGAGGGCACGGGACCCGGATGACACCCTCCCTCCCCTCGAGCACTGCCCCAAACTCTCCTGTCCTCCCCCAGGTGGCAGCAAAGGCCGGTGTCTACGAGATCCTCAACCAGCTGGGCTTCCCCGAGCTCGAGAGCGTGGAGGACCAGCCCTTCTCAAGGCTGCGCTGCCGGTGGCAGGAGCAGAACCGTGGCCCTGAGCTCTCCGCCACAGGGGACTTCCTGTAGGAAGGGGGCTTCCTGTGGGATGCACTCCCCCTGCCCCTGTTGTCACCGCCTCCCGCAGGGCCACCTCCCTCCCCACGTGGCCTGGGGGTACCCGATGCTCTTTGCTGGCAGTGGCCCTGAGAAACGACTCCTCGGCTTCCCAGAGACCAGGGTGGGTGGGGATCCCCTTTTTGAAAGAGTTGTTACAGGATAGTTGGCGCACAGTGATGCCTTGTGGATGGCCTCTCCGGGGGGACCTGCAGGAAGGCCTGGTGTGGCATCAGCTCTCCAAGGCGCTCACTCCCCAAGTTGCCAAGCCAAACCTCTCGCCACTTCCGTCCTCCCCTCTGCCCTGAGCAGTTCCGATGGCCCTGGCCTAGAGCAGCCCCGGCCAGTGCTCTCCCACGTGGCTTTTCCCCTTTTGCTGCCTGAGCATTGCCTGGTGGCCCTGGGCTCCCTGGGAGGTGGACGTCACTCTGGCTAGATGTGTTACCTTAAACGCAGTTTTCCCCAGGGTTCTTGCCTCTCATTCCTTGTCTCAACCCCAAGCCATGAAGAAGGACAACCACATTCCCTATGGGTTCAGTGGAGGCCTCTGCCCCTCCTGCCTTTGCCCCCTCCCCTCCCCTGGGCTGGCAAGACTGTAGAGGTTTCCATGGAGCTGAAAACAAAAGGGAATCCCTTTTGGGGTTGGAGGGGGCAAGAAAGAGCTCCCAGAAGGTGCATGCTGCCCTGTGGGAGAGGCCTGCTCCATTTCCCTGGGAGCATGGTGGGGAGGTCTGGGGATGCACCTCCTCCCTGCCCTGCCTGGCCCCCCAGCAGTGGTCTGAGCCCCCATCTGGTGTGGCAGAAGCCATGGGGACTCCTGGGTGACCCTGAGTGAGCAGTGGGGTGTGTGAGAGTGGGCCAGGGATGGCACGAGGGGGCACTTGGATTGCAGGCCATCCTCGCTGAGCACCCTCGAGTTGCCTTGTGATGGGAACAGAAGAGGCCAAGGCCTGCCAGTTTGGCAGCTGCTGGGACCAACTCTGTGTGGATGGTGGGAGGGTTGCTCGGAGAGGCAGGTGGGTGTTGAGCTGAGCCTGTGGCTCTCCCTCTGGGGACTGGTCCCCCCCTAAAATGCAGGGGCTGAACGGTGTGGACGCTGTCCCCCTGGCCCGGCTCACTGGGGCCAGGCAGGCCTCTCTTGGTTGGACACCAGCACTTGGGCAGAGAAACAGATGATGTATCACTGGTCGTGGTATTTTGAAAAGGCGGATGAGGCCAAAGTTGTTCACGTCTACCTAGTATTGGAAAATTTATGACCATTTTGGCTGAATTCTTTTGCAAATCTACTGTATGTCTTTTCACTACCTTTTTAGATTTGTTGTTTTTGGTTTTATTTTTGCATGTAGTAAAAAGTGTTAATTTCTCTGCGGACAAGGTCTAGATGAGGGGTCAGAGATCAGGGCTGAACTGGGAGGGATCCTTTGTGTTCTCATGGTTGGCCCTGACCTTCAGCTGTGCTGGGACTACTGGCCGGTCACATCACCTCTCTGCCTCAGTTTCCCCATCTGTAAAATGGGAGAATAATACTTGCCTACCTACCTCACAGGGGTGTTGTGAGGATTCATTCGTGATTTTTTTTTTTAACAGATCTTTTGAGCATTAAAAATGGCTAAATGTGAAATGCGCCTGGCTGCCAATGTTCTTTTGTGTGGGGCAGGTATTACAAAACTGATGCAAGCTGGGGTCCCTGTTCCCTCAGAGTAAGGGTGGGAGGGCAGGGTGAGCCAAGAGCGCCTGCCCTTTGTACCCCTGATTCTCAGAGAAGGTGGGTTTTCATGGATATCATTCTCTTTCCTTCACATCCCCAATCATGTATGCCCATCTCATTCTGGATTCCCAGGGCTGATGTGCTGAGGAGCCCCTCCTTGAAGAAAGTAGTGTAACAGACTAATTCACACTAAAGTGTGAAGGACTGTTATAGTTAGGGAGATGGAGCAGAATTGAATTTCATGGGCTATGGAGCAGAGTGGAAGCAGGGTGGTCCTCAGCCTCTACTTCCTTTTCGCATCTCTGCAGGCTCTTCTTGGTCCCTTTAGGCCCCCAAAGCCTCAAACACATTTGTGTTGAGAAATGAATGTGTAAAAAGGCAGGAGGGAGAGTGAGGCACGCAGAGTGCAGACCCAGGCTTCTCCCTAGGCTCTTCCAGGATTAGGGGGAATCAGACCCTCTGGGTTGTGATTCTGAGGTCAGCTGGAATGGAAGTTCTAAGGTCAGAATGGAATCCAGAGCCCCTACTGCATTATGGTTGGTTTTCTCCCCAGCCTGGGTGAAGGGAGGCCTCCTGGGGTTACTTCCCAGCGCTCTGAGTCCAAGGATGCTCTGTGTGGCTTCTGAATGTGAGTACAGTGGTATGTATACCCATGTGTGTGTGTGTAAGTGTGAGGGGTGGTTCTGCACTTCTCTGCCTGGGATGAAGGGATTATAAAAATATGATCAGTACAAAGATCTGGGATTCTTGATAGAGATGCAGCAGGCTCTTGGGACGACCTGGACTGGGAACTGGAAAGCTGCCCAGGGAGTCCCAAAAGCCCTCTGCAGCATCCACGGGGTACACTGCTCTGGTCCCCCCTCAGGAGGACCAGCTGCAAGAGCAGTCGGCACAACCTCCAGCCATTGCAGCTTCGATCCAGCGCTTGCCAAGGCTGCGCTCCACGTACAGCACTCTTCCCCACTCGGGCTCTCCCAGACGATGACTGAGCCACTAGCCACACTGTTTCTGCCTTGGCAGCCTTGCCTGGAGCCTCCCCACTGGTCTGGCTGGGTGTTTCTCAGACCACCCTGCTATGTGGGGCTATTCCTTGCCCCTCTCTTTTCATGGGTGTCAGACCTGCTTCGTGGTTCTGTAGGCTCTTCCTGCCTTCTTCTGCTCCCTCCTTCATCCTCCACAGGGGTTTCCACAAATAAATCTCTTGCAAGTCTAATCCCACCCTAGTGTCTGCTGCTCTAGGATCTGAGTGATGCACCCTCACCCTCATCTTTGGAAGGCAGCTATGCTCACCACTATACCACCAACGCCCTCACCCTCATCTTTGTCTCTCTGGGCAGCTGCTTTGTCTTTCTTTCTGGTGAAGGCAGCCTTCTCTGGCACTGCTTAGGGAAGCCACCAGCCCGGTTTCCAACTTCATATGTTATAGTTCCAGCCGGAATCAGTTGTCTTTCTCTCTCTTTGCACCACCCTGCCCTTCCATCTCAAGTGTGGGGCCACTGAGCCTGTGGACTGTGGTTGGAAGGGCAGGAAGTGATTGTTCATCTTCCCTATAGATGAGGGTGGGGTGGGGAAGGCAGGACAGGCGCTCAGTGTGATCTGGTGGATCACCCCCAAATCTGCATATGGCAGTGCCAACCGCTGATTATTTTCTAAATGGAATGCCCACTATGAAGGTTTTTCAAGATGCACCTCATTTGTCCTCCAGAAATGTCCTCTTTGATGGTCTCAAATAGCAGTTAATGAGCTTAGTGTTTCTCCCGCCTGGCCAGCACTGCTATTACTTTTTTTTTTTAACTCTATTTTATTTTGGAGTATAGCCAGTTAACAATGTTGTGATAGTTTCAGGTGGACAAAAGGGGCTCAGCCATACGTGAATATGCGTGTATTCATTCTCCCCCAAGCTCCCCTCCCATCCAGGTCTATTACATTTATTTTTAAAGTTCTTGATGGTTTTGTGGCTCAAAATAGAATTTCATACATGTTTAATTTTTTATTTTGTTTATTTACTTACTTTAAAAACTGAAGTATAGTTGCTGTACAGTATTATACACTTAAGATATATAGGGATTCATAATTTTTAAAATTAATTTTTACTGAAGTATAGTTGCTTCACAATGTTATATTAGTTTTCATAATTTTTAAAGCTTATACTTCACTTAGAGTTCTTGTAAAATATTGGCCATATTCTCTGTCTTGTACAGTGTATGTTTGTAGCTTTTTCTATACCTAGTAGTTGGTACCTCTTACTCTCCTACCCTTGTATTACCCCTCCTCACTTCCCTCTCCCCACTGGAAACCACTTGTTTGTTCTCTATGTCCATGAGTCAGCTTTTGTTTTTTTGTTACATTCACTGGCTTGTCGTCATTTTTTAGTCTGCGTATAAATGGTATCACACTCTATTTGTCTTTCTTTATCTGATTTATTTCACAAAGCATAATATTCTCTAGGTCCATCTATGTTTCTGAAAATGACAGAATTTCATTCTTTTTATGGTTGAGTAACATTCCATTGTGTGTGTGTGTGTGTGTGTGTGTAGACACACACAGGCTGCATCTTCTCTGTCCAGTTGTCTGTTGGTGAGCACTTGGATTGCCTCCATGTGTTGGCTGTTGTAAATAGTGCTGCAATGAACATTGGGGTATATTTGTTTGAATTAGTGTTTTTGTTCTTTTTCTGGATGTATATTCAGGGGTGAAATTGCTGGATCATATGGTAGTTCTATTTTTAGTTTTTTGAGGACCCTCCATACTGTTATCAAAGAGACTGTCTTTTCTGCATTGGATAGTTTTGCCTCCTTTGTTGAAGACTGATCGGTCGTAAGTGCCTGAGTTTATTTCTAGTTTCTCTGTTCTGTCCCACTCATCTGTGTGCCCAGAGAGTATCTGACTCCAAGCCTGCACTCATTTTAGAGATGGATACTGGTGCCAGCTCTGTACTGGAATCCTCTGACATTCTCAGTGACAGGAGAGAAATGTCAGTCCTGCTGGAAGCGTGCCTTTGCTGGGGCGGGTTAGGAGGGGGATGAAGGGAAAGAATGATTTCTTTGAAAACCCTCCCATGAGGTCTTGTGGTTCTCAGACTCGATGCTTTTCAAACCCTTGTGTCCTTTCAAGAGGTTCCCCTCAACACCCACAAGAAGGGCTTGTTTCCTATGAGTCACTCTGATAGATTATCTGTTACAGGGGCTTTTGAGTTTCATTTTGTGCCTCCCTTTAGGGTATTTTTTTCCCTACCATCTGCCCACCTCACCCATTGACATGCCGT